GAAAAATCGTCGAAAATCGGTTTCTTAAGTTTTTTTTTATTCCGTTGACTTAGAATTTTCCGTAAATGTACACTTTTTTATGGAACTTTCATATGGGGTATTGAGAAAGCATGTATACTTTGAAAAAATTTATTTTTTTTTTAAATCGTAAAAAATTCTACAAAATTTTTAATTAAAGTATTATAAATTTGACACATTTTTAAAGTTTATTCATATAAATATAGCTGCTCAAAATCGAATTTTTGCGATTTAAAGAATTTTTTTTTTTTTTTAACTTAGAACTTTTCATAGATGTCTTTATTTTTTACGTAGAACAAAATAAAAGGATGTCCGGTGATGTTATTCTTAAGGACCACCATAATATACATACATACATACTACATGGAAGATTCCAAGTCAACGGAATAAAAAAAAAACTTTCTTAGAAATCAATTTTTGATCGCTGTCGTAATTCGGTTAGCATGGAATTTTCAACATGTTTCCCCCAAATTTTTTTTTCTTGGAATTCCCTGCGCGAAATTTTTGCACCAATTTTTACATAATCGCTAGTTTTGTAGGTTTTCCAATATTCTTCATGCTCTTCTCATATGAAGGTATATTTAACTTTAGCAACAAGTAATATGCGCATTACATATGTATGTATACATACATACAATGAATTAAGTTCAACCTTCAACTTTTCTCAGTGTACAGTGCAATGCACGCTGTTGTATAAACAAAAGCGCGAACGAATGCTTAATCAGAAACGCATCATTGCAAGCGGAATTCTTAATCTGGCATTAATACAATTTTCAACGAGATACCGAGGCGATACGAGCCGCTGCAAATGCGGTGAAGAAGGTGCCTCAACAAGCCTATTTACACATACACACACACACACACACACACACACACACACACACACACACACACATTCAACACACAACACAAAATAACAAAACGATGCCATAACCAACACGAGACCAGCCAAACGCAAGCTGGCAGAAACAGAGTGGGAGAGAGGGGCAGGGGGCAGGGTTTGAAGCTGAGCTTGCAAAGTGCAGTCCAAATAAGCGGCGAATGCTTAATCAGAAGTAAGGGACAAACGGCAGTTGGTGGAGGTGGAGTAGAGATGAGGTGAATGGAAAAGTGCGGTTATGATGAGGGTGGGGAGAGGAGGGCGACTTGAATGTTCCATTGCAGACAGTAGTGTACAATGCGGACAACAAATGCAAGCGCTACAAATATGCAAAACAACAACAACAACAACAACAAAATAAATAAATAAAATAAACTAGAATACATGGAAAATATGTACCAGATGCACCGCCGTCGATGGCTGCATTTGAAATGTGTTGAATGTGTTGATTGTATTGTTGTCATTGTTGTCGCTTTTTTGTGTCTACTGGTGCTCGCTTTATTGCTATTTTGCTATGTTCTCGCTTTGGGCTGTTGTTGTTTTTGTTATTGTTGTTGTTGTTATTATTTGTGTTTGTGTTTATGTCGCTGCTGTTGATATGATGTTTGACCCATATTGGAATTTGTCTGCCGGTTTTGCCTACCCCACAGCAGCACACTCCCCCTCTCGCTTTCCACGCCTTTCGGCAGCCACAGTTTGCATTCGCCAAAATGGGCTGAGCCAAACGAACGGATGTATAATGTTGCGCCGAATAGGTGCTTTTGCTGGTGCTGTTATTGTAATGGGGTGGTTTGGGGGGTAAAGGTGCTTTGAATTACAATGAATTACCTTTTTCTATGTCAACAGCAGAATAGTACCAACCAATTGTTTGCAAATAAGTGGTTGGGTAAGGGCAGTAAGCGTTGAAGAGCGCCAAAAGCCGCCAGCTTAGTGACAATATTTTAGCCGGTAACCGTGTGGTCGCAAGGTGCTTGAACTCAATGGATATGAGAGTATGAATATGAATATGAATATGAAAAAAGTGTGCTGGTTAGCGGTTTACTTTTGTGTCATAAAGGGCTGAGCTGTGTGTGTATTTTTAGACACGGACGTCGCAGATGTTTTAGCTGCAGCAGAGCAATGGCATTACTTCCTCAAAAAAAAAAAAACAAAAAGAGTTAGATTTCAAATATTTGTATTCAAACCGTGAGCGGAATTGCTGAGAATGAACTTTTCAAATCTATTCATACTACAATAGCCATTTCAATTTTCAGAAGATGGAAGATAAAAACTAGTTACGAAGAGAATAAAAATCGTAAAAATTTACTGAGGCATTAATGCATTCCGCTCATAGTTAGGATTTTTTACCATGAAAGGTGGTAGGTCAGCAATTCTACAAATTATCTAACAGGGCGATTCTGGCTAATGGTGATTTCGTTTCTACCAAAAAATGTTGCTTTTTGATTTTCGCTTTCTTTTTTTCGTGTTTGATTCTAAATTAAAGGCAAAGGGTGAGAAATGTATTTGTATTCGTTTCTTAAAATGTCACACTCTTGTAAGGCAAAAAAAAGGCACATTCTCTGCCCTTTGAAGCTTTGTCAGGGGAGAAGGTTGCCCTGAAAATCTGTTGGTTGCTTAAAACGAGAATATTATGAAATGCCTGATCATTGGATCATGAAGAAATTAACGATAATCTTAAATTTTTAAATGAGAATTGAAGTCGGTTTTGTTTTTGCGTTAAAAAGTACTTGTTTAATTGTTTAATTGAATTTTTAGGAACTTTATATTTTTTTCTTTTTACAAGCTTTTATTTTTAAGGCCAAATCTTCCAATAAATTTTTGACCAACTCCCGTGACCTAGACTTGAAATTTCACAATTATGCCGATGGGTTATATTTGGATATATTTGGTATGTCAGTATTTATGGCCCGATTTCGTTCATATTTAGAAAGCTTGCTTCAAATAGATTTGTGTTTACTATTAGCTTATTTAACTTTCTTTTAATATTTAGATTTTATTGTTTTAAAGAGAAAAAATGTTTTTTAATTTCACTTAATTTTTAGAAACCTTTTTTATTTAATTCCTAATTTTTATTTATTTATTTCTTTTTATTTTTATAATTTTTTATTGTTTTTTTTTATTTTTATTTATTAATAATTTTTTTTATTTTTTATATTTTTTATATATTTTTTTAAATTTTTTATATTTTATATATTTTTTATATTTTTATATATTTTTTTAAATTTTTTATATTTTTTATTTTTTTTACATTTTTATATTTTTCGTATTTTTTATATTTTTGCATTTTTTATATTTTTTGTATTTTTTTATCTTTTATTTTTTAATTTTTAATAATTTTTATTCAATTTTCTTATCATTTTTAGATTTTATTGTTTTAAAAAGAAAAACAGTTTTTTAGTTCCATTTAATTTTTAGGAACTTATAGCATGCAACGGTTTTTTGGATCTGACACCCAAACTTTCGTTTGATATCAAACAAAAAACGTTGTCAGGTCTTCGACTGTTGGCCCCTACGCAACCATATTATTGAAGTAAAAATTAATTAAGAAATTCATTGATTCATTGTTTATTCATACACGGGATAGAAAGCTTAACAGAAACCGTAATATTGAATAATGAACTAGAAAAGCTTTCCGTGCCCTTTATACAAACAAGGCTCCTACATATATATAAAAGAGCTGTTGTAGTAAAAGCCATTGTTCACTTTGGGATAACAATATAGTGGCCGACGCTTTACAAAACCACGGCTAAGAGCCTACAAGAAAGGATACACAGGTCAGCAGCTATGTTTACCACAAATGCCTGAAACAATAATAGACCTTTATGACCACCTTCAGGTAAACTGTAATACAATTAAGTATACCTGCCCTGGAAGGAATCTAGATTCGGTCAGTCTAGATAATATACCAAGAGCCTACCGGACGTTTCTTTCTTGATAATAACTTTTCGACAAAAAATCGAGTGAACGAATGAGAAAATGTAAATGATCTAGATTCCAGTGTCAAATTCCAGAGTCATTACGATCTTCACCGAAGGCTCGAAGGTGAATAATAATAGTCTGGCACCCATCAAAAGAACTAATACGAATCGTAATCCTGCGTCTACCGTACTACCGCACTCAGGCTCCCATGTGGCAGGTTTCTTGACCACGGTCTACTCTCTTCAGTGCAATAAAATCTTTTGGGAAGTAGCAAATGTATTGAGAACTGTTCTAAACAATTTGACCATGCGATGCTCAAAGAATGCAGTTTTTTATTTATTTATTACTAGAAAAATAACCGGTTAATTGCTGTTCTATACAAATTTCTATTGGACACAAAAATATTTTGGGGAAACTGTACTAACGATCAATTCTACCCAAAATGCGGATAATACATTATCTTCTATCTTCAGACGAATATGTCTCAGATCGGTTTTTATTGAACCGGCCAACCCCAAATGGGCCAGAGAACCCACTGGTGAGCAAGAAAACCAGGCCGACACTTAATGGAAACAGATCTGAGTCTTTATCACCACTGCTTAATGGAATGCATGGAAGAAAGTGTTGAACTGAAGAACGAGGAACATTCACGGCCTTCTACGCATCTAAAGATAAAGAGGGTGGTCCTTTCCGGTGACCAATGATGAATCCCTGCCGCGAACTCTTAGGGGTGAAACAAAATGAGCTATGCAAAACCTTGATTTTCTATATTCTTCTGATCTATTTTCCATCATATTTCAATAAGAGCGATGAATGCACATGCTTCGACAAAGTATACTCCAAGCGGTTATGGAAACAGAAGAAAATTTCAAAAAAAAAAAACACTTTTAACTCAAATCTAAAAATGTAAACGCTCCTTAATGCGCAATAAGAATAAATTTTACGGAGTACCAAAAAGAAAAAGCCACATCCAAGATAAAGAACCGCAAAAGAGGACTGTTCTTAGCAATCAAGTACGGATGGTCGCCGTAAGTGTTAAGGGATTGTGGATGATTCACTATACATATTATCTCGTCGATAAACTGGTATTCCGAATACTATTGTAAGGAGCCACACAATCTCCACAATTACATATGATCCTACATGTAGTATAAACAACAACAAAAACTAGCGCTGCACTCACCTTCGTTATCGCTGCGACGCGAACGTGGCATACTGTTGTAATACTGCTGCATTTCTGATTTCTCAGTCGATTCATTCTCTTGCTTCTCGTCTTCGGTGTAGACAGGTGAACAAGGACCCGACGAAGCGCTGGCGGCTGGCGAAGATGATGTAGCCGAATTAATGCTACCGCTTAGGCCATTAGCGCCACCACCCAAACTATCCACCGAACCACGCTTTGTGGCTATGGCCACATACTGGAATGTCGCTGAAGTGGGCGAAGATGGCGTTAGCCTATCCTCACCCTCAATGAGATCAATAGATTTTTTGCGTGGCTTTTCTGGTGGCACAGGTGCAGTTGTCAAGGCAGCGGCTGCGGCTGCGGCTGCGGCTTGTTGTTGCTCATCAAGTGAACGCTGTAGAGCTGCCGTAACAGCAGCCGATTTGGCAGGTGGTGGAGGTGGCTGCGTTGCATCAGCCAGTTTTGTGGGCGAACGTACACGTTCTGGGTTAAACTTAATTGGACTTAGGTTCTTCGGTTTGGCAGCTGGTATGGGTGGCAATGGTGGCGATTTGATGGGACTACCAATTTTATTAGTACTACGCGGTTTTATCTCAGGCGGTACGACAGTGTGACGTACCGGTGGACTGGGTGGATGATCCTGTGCTTGCTGATGCTGTTGTGCAGCAGCCAAAATGGGTGAACGTAGCTGTTCCATGCTGGTTACAGCCGCATTGGCAGCGGTTGGCTTGTGATTGACGTTTGGTGAGGCGGTGGCAACGGTAACGGCAATATTGGCATTCTCTTTCTCCCGCTCTCTTTCACGCTCCCTGTCTTTCTCTTTCTCTCTCTCCTTTTCCTTATCCTTCATTTGTATGGCCGAACCGGAAAAGAGCGTTGTGCCTGGCACAGTTCGGATGATGTCACAACGATTTTGGTCGCTATGCGTTCGATTTGATTTTGTTTTCGTAAAATGTGAAGTCCATTTCTTTTGTTTCTCAATTAGCTCGCGTGAATTGAATTTACGTTCCGGTTTCTCCGGCTTGTCGACACTACCACCACCAGCCGATAGTATGGCACTAACACCGCCAACCACTGATGAGCTGCTTAGCACACCGTCTTCGGATTTGTGACGTGCAATATTGTGATGTAGCTTCGTAACCGGTTCTACGATAAACTTACTATTACTCAGCGCTAAACCGCCATTAACTTGCAGTGCACAATTATTATTGTTCGCCAATGAAGCGGCTACATTGCAACCTGGTGGAAAGGGTGAACGACGTTTCGGTGGCGATATCGAACGATCTGAGGAACGCGACGATGAACGATCCGAGCTATTGCCCTCACAAAGATTATCGTCACGCGAGCCGGAACGTGACATTTTCACATTCGAATTCGAATTGTTCTCCACGCCGAGCTTTTCGAAAAGCGCGCGTGCATTATTGAAACGAGCGGAATGAGATTCGGTGCGTACAACTGTAGCCGGTATTCCAACACCAATGGCTTGTTGTTGCTGATTAACTGCTGCGGCGGCGGCGGCGGCAGCGGCAGCAGCAGCTGCAGCGGCGCTTAACTGTTCCACCGGCTGTATTTCGATAGGTTTACGCTGGAAAAGATTCGCAATTTGCGAAACTTTACCAGCTGGCGTCGAATGTATGGATTTCTCCATTTTGGCGTTGAAGAGGTGCGTTCAATAGTGCTTTGAGAGTCGTCTGTAATGAGATGGAAAAAAGTAGAGAAAGATAGAAGTTAGTTTGAATACCAATCAAATTTTCCGGTTATTTAAAATCTGTGTAATAAAAGTCAAACTCAATCTTAAATACCAACGAAGAGAAAAAATGGTTCCAATGGTGGAAAAATATGCGTCACAAGGAAGATAGCACCCAAAGAGAAATCGGCGGAAGCCAATCTAAGAAGTTCCTTTGATATAATTAGATTTGTTTCGCTTTTGGCTGGGATTCAGCCCGGAGATGATCAGAAGAAAACCTCTCCCGAAAGGTGACGGCTCCTTTTGAGCCATGGAACTTTCTACAATAAGCTAGATAGCGAAGTGTACTAAAGGTCTTGATCTGGTTAAGAGTATAAATGTTTCCTGAAGGGTAAACATTTGTCTTCAATTCGACATGCCTAGTGCAACGGCAGATCATCAGAAATAGCTTTACAGCAATGATGGGCAAAACGCTACTCGCGAGTAGCGTCTGCGTCGCGGCGCTTATACGTATACAGAAACGACGCAGCGAATTTCAATTCAGTCTGCTTTCAGTTTTCATGAGAGTGACAGCACGCTTCGCCGTTGAATATTTTTATTCGTAATTTCACCGCGTTGTTGCCACCTATATATGTAACAATGCCCAAAATGGCTGCGTATGAGTGCCAATTACAATTTTCGGTTTTAAGAAAAGCCAATAATGCCCAATGCTTGTTATGTGGTAATACGACTACTTGGAATCTTTCTTTTAATATAAGGCGACATTATTTGTCATGGTAAAAAAGTCAAACTGCCGAACTGTGTAAACCAATTTAAAGTTTTTTGTAATGGGTTTGATGTATATATGTATGTACGATACGGCAATTTAATATATTTAGTATACTTTATTGAATACTGAGTTTTTTACAAAGTTTAGAAATTTTAAATTCGTGAATTTTGTTGTTGAATAAACTACCATTTTTTAAAACATTAGTTTAATGAAATTAAATTAAAAAAACTTTTCATGCACGTACATATGTACTTATAAAAATTAATTTCATAATTCATTATTTGAAATTATTTATTCATTATTTTTTTATTATATTTTATTATTTTCGTTTCATGTTCATAATACAAATTAAATATAAATGTGTAAGAGCGTTTTCTAACACGCGCAAAAAACGACGCACTTTTGTACAATATAGAAAAGTGGCAACTGTTACTCAGCGCGATTCACGAATACCATGACAAAATGAGACTGTATTGGTGTGCCCATCTATGCTTTACAGAGAGCACTCGTACAAGTACTACTCGGTTGGCGACTTTTTTGATATCGATGCAATCGTGAACTCCAAAAATAAACTGAACCTCTATGTCGACCTTGTTTAATTTATTTCTCGAATGGTTAGCAGAAGAACTGGTGCGTAGAACTGGGCAGCCCTTGCATTCAGAGAAAAATGAGTAGAGATAAGCTACAAAGGCGTTCTCTCAACATCGCCTTGGGTCGTCAACGAGTTGTTGGAGACTTCGATAAAAAACGGCTGACGGTTGGTTCCTTATACGTACGACATAGCGCCGATAGTTCATAGGCAGGGATACCTGAGCTCAAATCCGGTTAGTTGTTCTTTTCACAAGGAGATAAAAAGGTTTAAGTGTCTGGGCTTAATTGGAATATGCTGCCAGTACCGAGGAACTCACCATCAACCACAATTTAAGGCTCCCGAATCACTGTAATGCTTCTCAAGCGAAAGCCGCTGTAATAAATAGAGAAGCGGTCTGGTTGCTTAGAAATGTAGGAGGTTGGCATATGTACAAATATTCTGAAAGCCAGGTGTCAATCAGGGTCATAGGTTCTTTGACTATACGGTCCAGAAGTGTCAGGAAATGCCTGATTTCTCTCTCGGTCGCATCATATCACCATCATCAGGTTGAAGGCATGACCGATGAGCCAGTAACACTTGAGGAATTGAACGCGAGTACGGAAATGATGGATGCTTCACTGGTTACATGTGGTGTGCTTCTGGACGAATGGAAGCCCTGGAATTTAAGATTGCTACATTCTACTGACCGCAGGTTGACCGAACGCGGCCTAAGGAGCTCTTAAGGCAAAACAAATTACACATCTCATCTCTAGTTCGAGGCCGGATTTCGCGAGCTTGAGTCTTAAACAGCTGTGGTCTTACTTCTTTCTTACTACCCAAGAAACTTTCCGACAATAGAGATTAGCTACTGGCGTAGTTTTGTTGTATGCTCCGAACATTTTTAAACCCCTAAACTTTAGGAAATCGCTAGACGATCAGTTATTTGACCAAAAGCTGGGGTCAATCGGTTCAATTAAGCACGATTCACTATCTAGGAACTTCATTTAAGCTGGAGTCAAGCTGGGCTGTCTAGATCGATTTTGATGAAGCAATTTTCCATTAGGTGAGTTGCAGTCGGGGGAGCAATAGCGTACATAGATTTTAGATCTTCGAAATCCAAGCTAGAAAACAGGTACCTCACTGTGATGTAAAGCCTCTGAGTTGAAGGAATCGCTACTCGCATACTGGCATCCTTCTTCTCAGGACAACCAGTGTCTAGTGAAGAGTGGCAAAATCTGCATTCCAAACTATTTTAAAATTAGAGACGATTCAGGACGGACGTTGCAAGTCGAAAATTCAACCGAGAATGAGTTTTCTTCAAAAGATTAATGGGTTGGTTGAAGAAGCTTGCTCGCATCACCGTTCAAGCACGCCAAAAGTTTTTTTTACTTAAGTTTTGAGAACTATAAAAGCAGCAAACCTCTGAGCCTTAACATTTTTGTACAGCAAGAAGCCGAATTTTGTGGCCCAAAAATCTTACCACATTCCTTTCTACTGCCCAACATTGAGTCTTTATGGACGTAGGATAAATTTTTCATTTTATCAACTATTCAGCGCACCACAAGAAGGGCTGGAAATTATCTTTTACTTGAATCCACAACAAGTTTTCGAAACAGGCACAGCCGCAAAAGGGGCCCCTAGACAAAGTTGATCAAAATTACGAGAACAGGCCAACTACGGGCACGCAGCGGTCTTGAGGGTAATTAATAGTGAACAGCGTAACGGAATCAAGGCGCCGACTTAGATATCGAAATTGTTAGAGTATCACCATCCTGAGATTTTAGTCTTAAGATTCCTATTACATTTTCCAACTAGGCAAGATCGGAAAGGCGGGCTACTATTGATAAATTATGGTATTTCCACTTACACCAATGGTATACGGATTGAAAAAGAAGTTTTCTCGGTTCTATATACTCCAAGGACCTGCAGATAAGGCAATCATATTGCCTGTCTGAGCGCAGTGTTTACAGTGAATTTCAGGCGGAGATCTTGAGCACAGGGAACTTTGTATATTTTATACAGAATAGTAAGTCTCTATCGGGGAACGTCACTATATTCATTGCCAGCCAGGGGGCGCATTGAAAACGTTAGGTTCTAAAGTAGAAAAATCGAAAGTAGTTCGGGAATGTCGTGCATCTCTGGCTACACTGAGTCTCTCTGCTGGGTTCATGGACATAGAAATATCGGAGAGAACGAAATAGCCGATGATGTGGCTAGACATGGCGCGTAAATGCAAATTAGCGAAGCAGATAACTCCCTACTACCACCGATTTCCAATCTACTGAGGAGGGTTGAAGAATACACCACAGCCGTAACTATAGACCTATGCATCAATCGTAACGACTGTGAGATCTCAAGATCCTTATGGTCGAGATTCAATAATAGTCGTACAGAAGAATTATCGACGCTCAATAAATATGCTGTAAAGGCTCCATCGAAGGCGTATAGATGCCAGCCTCTGCAGAAATTGACGGTATGAAGAAGAAGAAGAATCGATTCATCACTTCCTATGTCGATTCCCAGCACTCCAGACGAGGCGTCTCAACCATTTGGGATCACGCTTTTCCAATAGATAGTTTGGGGGAGATAATGAAAGTGAGAATATCGCAGCTCCACAGCTGGTCTAACAGGCCCTAGTACTGACAATAGCGAGTTATTTCGGTTAGAAGGATGCACCTGCTGTAGATTGCCATTCACAATGAGCGAGTTTGCCTCCGAGTGGAAATACGAGTAATACACGCCTTGCCTTCCTAAACTTATCTAACATAACCTATAAACCAATGTAGCCCAAACAAAAAAACACTTTATTTTAAAAGTTACGTTTTCTAGAGATTTAAAAAAAAATTACCATTTTGCTTGCGTACACTTTCATTTTTCTAAAAACACACCAGCACAACAATTTGTCAAATTATGCGAAAAATAATAACAAAAGAAGGCACTAAATATTTGTAATGAAAACTTTTTCCGGTTCAATGACAGCACTTTAACTGTCGACACCCGAAAATCACTCCACTTTCGACTTGAATAAACACATACAGATCACGTTTCATGTAGTATATGTATGTATGTAAATATTTTTGGCTTTTATTTCTTGTATAGCGAATTCCGTATTTAAAAAAAAAAGCAACTTCCGCTATTCTTTGACCACAGTTGGAATAAAGAGCAGAAAAAAAACTAATTGAAACTTCCACTTGAAATTGCGCTTTCGTACACCTTGCTGCGTAAAAACGTTAGCGATTTTTTTTTTATATATTATTTTTTTTTGTGAAGGTGTTGATTTTTAACAAATTTTCAAAACATTTCACATCACGAGTACTACGTTGGCACAACTCTTCTACCAATTGAACGGAGAACTACACCGGCGTCGTGTGACTGAATGACTAAAGGCGGTGGTCGATAACAAAGAAGGCACAAGCAGAGCGTGCATTGTTGAAAAGTGTTTTTTTTTGTTGCAAATTTTGTTTTATTTTTATTAATGGAGTTTTGCTTTTTTAATTGCACTAAAGGGTGTATGTGTGTGTGTGTGTGTGTGTGTGTGTGTGTGTGTGTGTGTGTGTGT